ATTTGTATTACGTTATTGTTAATATATTTAGAAAGGCGCTAAACCCATGTGGGTCATCCAGCGCATTACAATATATGACACAACAGGTGTAAAGGTGGGAAGAGCCACGTGTGGTGAAGACCAGCAGCCGCAGTACACCCACCTGGAGTCTACATAAGTGGGATTGAAAAAAGGATGATACTGAAAATCATTTTAATCGTGAAATATTTTATTAAAAAAAGACTAGATTATCATCTATGATGGAGGCCGACGTACAATGTTCAGTGATAGTCACTTAGGCTTTGACACATCGTAACAGTTAAGGAAAAGTACATAAATGCATACATATGTACACATACACACTCACGAAAAAATCTCATAGGAACTCAGCATCATTCTGGAATGCTCAAAAAGTGTAGGAAGATTTAACATAAATCTCTAACAAGTGTTTAAAAAAACTCTGTCTTGGTCAGTGTGACCCACACAGGTGCAGTGTACCGGCTGACACTGCCACCTGGCTGACATTTGTCTAGCTCACCTCACAACAGCTACTTCACTACTCTTCTATTAGGAATAATTTGTGTTTTGGTTTATGCATAAGGGCGCAGACTTGAAGCAGTCTTCAAGCGTTCGTTCTTAACTGTTGTCACACTCGAGAGTGTCCTGAGGTCTGGCAAGTAACTTCCAGCTTGTGTAGTGCTGGCGATGTCAAATCGATTACGTTGCAGGTAGTGGAAGGTCAACACTGTCTTCTGCAGCGCCGCCGTCGGCCGTGTGCTGCACCACCAACGGCACCAAAATACTGCGATGGAGCGGCTGCAGCAACATCGAGGCGGGCGATGAAGACACTGGCAGCAGGAACGTGAACTCCGCACGTTTCACTGTGTCACGGAGAACAGGGTGATGAGAGTCAGGGGAAGACCCCAGCCTGCTGCTTCACTTTGCTCTGGCGTTGCAGGTGGTCAGGTCAGCGGGTTCACTTTGCTGCTCTGCGTACGCCGCCGTCAACGTCGCCGCCAAGTACGTCGGGTATGGCGGGGTGGGAAGCGTCGGCAGGCTGTTCTGTTGTTGCTGCTGCTGCTGCTGTTGCTGATGCTGTTGTTGCTGCTGCTGTGGCTCTTGCTGCTCTTCTGGCGGCTCCCCCGTGCTGCTGGGACTCGCAGGGGAGGCAGGCAAGTCTCCGAGGGGCGATGTCCTGCCTTCTGTGGGAGTGAGAGACTCATCGCCGCCGTCAGGGAGCAGAGAAGAGTCCTGGTTGCCAGCGAGTTTGGCGTGTTGCTGTTCCATATACTGTTTACGCCACTTGATCCGTCGGTTCTGGAACCACACCTTGACTTGTGCCTCCGTCAGGTTGAGCGCCGCCGCCAGGTACAACCGCTCGGGTCCCACCATGTACTGTTGACGAGCGAACTCAGCTTCAAGGCGCTCTAGCTGTTCCGCTGTGAATATGGTTCTCACTCGCTTAACTTTCGCCTTGGCTGATGAATTGGAGGTGCTGGAGGAGTGGCTGCCACCACTACCACTGAGGTCGCTGCTGACGGCGGGGTAGGGCGACGGCCGGGAGAGCCGCTCTTCCCGGCGGAGTGCCAAGGATCGACCAACTTGTTCTGCCTCTTGTTGGCGGCGACCTAGGATGGCGTCGATGGTGAAGGAGGCCGCCCTGGCTGGCTGCGGGCGGTGCCACAAGCTGGTGCTGGATACGGGAGATGACGGCGGCGAGCTCGGTGGTGATCCCTGAGTAGGCAGTGCCCAAGGAAAGGGCATGCCACCCATACTGAGCAGCGGGTTGAAGAACGGAATGCCTGTAGCGTGAATCATGGTGAGGTGTGTATACTCCACCTGTCACTGTGATACTGACACATGAACGTCACACACGCCTCTCTAAATGTCCGTTACCGAGGCGCCGCCCCCCCCGCTAGCACTCACCACAGGCGGCAGCTGACTGGTCAATACAAGTCATGGCTCCACCCCCTGGCTTCTTTGCTCCTCCTCCTGCACGCTGGGAGCCCATTAACTGCTGGCCTCCATTCTTGAATTCAGTGGTGTTCAAATGAATCATGTCGACCTCTCACACTGACTGCCGGGGAGACAATAATGCCAACTGAAGCTGGCCGAGTAAGAGGCTACAACAACTAAGTTATTACAACGGCTCCCGACAACATGCACGGAATAGGAATGATGCTATTATTCTTGCTTCCAGCTCTCTCTTTCCCGCGCTCACTTCCCGCGCCCGCCAAGAGGCGCCAACCCAGGATTTTCTTGATGGCGGGAATGTGAGAGTCTTTTAATAAATGTTTCTTCACGGGTGATGAGCCAGTCGGGCCACTATGGTCTTGTTTACCTGCACGCTCCATGCCTCCGCCCAGGTAATGGTTTAGGGAACTCATACAACCTCTGGTCAGGTCTAAGTAACATTGTTTACATATTTCAATTAGTGAGGCACTAACATACTTTCCAAATTATGACCTCTTTAAGAGGACTATATTGCTGCCTTTAATTGCATTTGTTATGGAACTTTAGCATGCTAGGTTAGCCCAGTAAGAAGACACTGAATTCACTTGCTAATTTTAAACGACAGTGTTAAATACGTTATTATAATAATAATAATAATTTTGTTATATATTTATTATTGTTATAATTAGCATTTATTATAATAATTAGTATTATAATTATTATTTTATAATTATTATTATTGTTTTTTTTTTAATTATAATATTTAATTAAATTATTAATGTTACTGATCTTACAATAATCTTCCACTAAGATACAACAGCTGGCAAAGTTTCAAGCCAGCCGGCAGAGATATTCTCAAGTTGTCACAGAAAATAAGTCCATAACGTACTAGTTCCTTAAAATTAAAGCTGCTCAGAAGTTGCTTTCATAAAAGTTTGAAATCGATCGGACAAAGCATTCACCAGTTGTATGGAAATCAACATTTAAGTTTTTCCAAATTTCTTTAATAAAACTGGCAGCCACACAGGCCAAAATCAGTCCAAAATTTTTCTCTAAGTAAGATACACCAGTTTGAAATATTTGAAACTGATCGGATTTAATAATTGAAATGACCCGGATGCGATTTTGTTTTTAAAATTTGTAAATAACACTTTTGTAACCCAAAATGAATGTGAGTCTTTCTCTTAAAAAAAAAAATCGCACCAGCACTAAAAGTTTCAAGCCGACCAGATGATACATTCTTCAGTTATCACACAGAATTCAACAATTCCAAATTTATTAACCGTGTTAGTAAATTAGCAACAATTACAGCAGCACAACCTAAACTAAAAAAAATGTAATGAGTGTCCGGGGCCCAAGACTGTTTAACAGCCTCCCACCAGGCATAAGGACACTTACCAATAAACCCCTGACTGCCTTCAAGAGGAAGCTGGACAGATACCTAAAGTCAGTACCCGATCAGCCGAGTTGTGGTTCGTACGTTGAAGTACCTGCAGCTAGCAGTAACAGCCTGGTTAATCAGGCCCTGATGTACCGCGATGCCTCGTTAAGGACTGGGCCGCGGGGGCATTGACCCCCGGAACACCCTTCAGGTAGGTGAAAGATATATCAACCATTGAAGATTAACGCCATACAGAGGAGACTTACTCAAGGTATCACACGATAAAAGAAATTACCATTCCTTTAATAACAATTCCAAAACTTCTAACTAGGATACACTAGTATCGAAAGTTTGAATCCGGTCAGAAGAGGCGTTCCCAAGTTACCACCCAGCAACCAAACCCGAGAATGATGTACATAAAAGTGATCAGAGGGGAGCCACACAAGCCAGCGGCTGCATGATGACTCGCTCCCTGCTGACGGTACACCAGTGTTGAAAATTTGAAGCCGATCTGATAAACCGTTTTCAAGTTATAAAACTATAACCTTGGAACAAATAAATTATAATAATAATAATTGTAACGATAATAAAATAATAATCAAGTAATACTACTACTAATAATAATAACAGCATTAATAATAATAATAAATTTAACAATTATTTCATTGTTATTAATTAATTAATCAACCTGTATCCAGCAGCTGCTCAGGTCAGTTGTCAAACAAACAAATAAACAAACAATCTAACTATGAAATCAGAACAACTAAACCAGTGTTGTTGTTGTTTATGTTGGGGTGCAGAGCTAGAGACCAGGGCAGGGAGAGGGGAGACCAGGGCAGAGAGAGGGGAGACCAGGGCAGGGAGAGGGGGAGACCAGGGCAGGGAGAGGGGAGACCATGGCAGGGAGAGGGGAGACCAGGGTAGGAAAAGGGAAGACCAGGGTAGGAAAAGGGAAGACCAGGGTAGGAAGAGGGGAGATTAGGGTAGGAAGAGGGGAGACCAGGGTAGGAAGAGGGAAGACCAGGGTAGGAAGAGGGGAGATTAGGGTAGGAAGAGGGGAGACCAGGGTAGGAAGAGGGGAGACCAGGGTAGGAAGAGGGGAGACCAGGGCAGGAAGAAGGGAGACCAGGGCAGGAAGAAAGGAGACCAGGGCAGGAAGAGGGGAGACCAGGGCAGGAAGAAGGTTGACCAGGGCAGGAAGAGGGGAGACCAGGGCAGGAAGAGGGGAGACCAGGGCAGGAAGAGGGGAGACCAGAGCAGGAAGAAGGGAGGCCAGGGCAGGAAGAGGGAAGAGCAAGGCAGGAAGAGGGATGAGGAAGGCAGGAAGAAGAGAGAGGAGGAAGAAAGAGGGAAAGGGAAGGCGGGGAGAGAAGAACAGAAGATGAGTGGGAGACGGGAAAGGGAAAAGAGTGCAGGAAGGGAGGGGAAGAGAGATCAAGAAGAAGGGTCAAAGAATGGAAAAAAAAAATAAATAAATAAATAAAAAAAGCTTCAAGGTTAGGTAAAACACTTAAGTGCAGAGAAACAACGAATATTCTTGACAAGTTCAATAATGATTTAAATAACCTTATTGAACCCTCAGAGCCAAGGTGAACTTTTACGTCTGTCTTCATTAAGATGGAAGATGAGGCAGCAGAGAAGATGAACCTGGAAGATGAGGCAGCAGAGAAGATGAACCTGGAAGATGAGGCAGCAGAGAAGATGAACCTGGAAGATGAGGCAGCAGAGAAGATGAACCTGGAAGATGAGGCAGCAGAGAAAATAAACCTGGAAGTTGAGGCAGCAGACAAGATGAACCTGGAAGATGAGGCAGCAGAGAAGATAAACCTGGAATATGAGGCAGCAGAGAAGATGAACCTGGAAGATGAGGCAGCAGAGAAAATAAACCTGGAAGTTGAGGCAGCAGACAAGATGAACCTGGAAGATGAGGCAGAAGAGAAGATAAACCTGGAATATGAGGCAGCAGAGAAGATGAACCTGGAAGATGAGGCAGCAGAGAAAATAAACCTGGAAGTTGAGGCAGCAGACAAGATGAACCTGGAAGATGAGGCAGCAGAGAAGATAAACCTGGAATATGAGGCAGCAGAGAAGATGAAGCTGGAAGATGAGGCAGCAGAGAAGATGAACCTGGAAGATGAGGCAGCAGAGAAGATGAACCTGGAAGATGAGGGCAGCAGAGAAGATGAACCTGGAAGATGAGGCAGCAGAGAAGATGAACCTGGAAGATGAGGCAGCAGAGAAGATGAACCTGGAAGATGAGGCAGCAGAGAAGATGAACCTGGAAGATGAGGCAGCAGAGAAGATAAACCTGGAAGATGAGGCAGCAGAGAAGATGAACCTGGAAGATGAGGCAGCAGAGAAGATGAACCTGGAAGATGAGGCAGCAGAGAAGATGAACCTGGAAGATGAGGCAGCAGAGAAGATGAAGCTGGAAGATGAGGCAGCAGAGAAGATGAACCTGGAAGATGAGGCAGCAGAGAAAATAAACCTGGAAGTTGAGGCAGCAGACAAGATGAACCTGGAAGATGAGGCAGTAGAGAAGATGAACCTGGAAGATGAGGCAGCAGAGAAGATGAACCTGGAAGATGAGGCAGCAGAGAAGATGAACCTGGAAGATGAGGCAGCAGAGAAGACGAAGCTTTAAGATGAGGCAGCAGAGAAGATGAACCTGGAAAATGAGGCAGCAGAGAAGATGAACCTGGAAAATGAGGCAGCAGAGGAGATGAACCTGGAAAATGAGGCAGCAGAGAAGATGAACCTGGAAGATGAGGCAGCAGAGAAGACGAAGCTTTAAGATGAGGCAGCAGAGAAGACGAAGCTTTAAGATGAGGCAGCAGAGAAGATGAACCTGGAAAATGAGGCAGCAGAGAAGATGAACCTGGAAAATGAGGCAGCAGAGGACGGACATTTTTCACAACCGCGGCGACGGTGGCTGCGGCGGCGATGGAGGCGGTGGCTGCGGCGGCGGAGGAGGAGGTGGCTGCTGCGGCGGTGGAGGAGGTGGCTGCGGCGGCGATGGAGGCGGTGGCTGCGGCGGCGGAGGAGGAGGTGGCCGCGGCGGTGATGGAGGTGGCTGCGGCGGCGGTGGAGGCGGCCAGCAGTCAATCCCCTGACTGCCTCGGAGACGGATTTCCTCCACGGATTATCAGTGAGATTTTTAAAAGGGATTTTCCAGTTCAGATGATCGACCGCTCTCTCTTTCTCCATTACTCTCTCTCTCTCTCTCTCTCTCTCTCTCTCTCTCTCTCTCTCTCTCTCTCTGTCACTGAGAGAGAGGGTAAGAACGCTGTCTGGTCAGTAATACTGTTACACTCTCCTGCTCCATTGTACGGCAAATTACAAATTCCCAACCACATATGAGCTCTTAAACCTACGTGTATTACAGCCTTTCCCAGTGTGCTGGTGGTGGTGATGGTGGTGGTGGTGGTGGTGGTGGTGGGTGGTGGTGGTGGTGGTGGTGATGGTGGTGATGGTGGTGGTGATGGTGGTGGTGATGGTAGCAGTGGTGATGGTAGTGGTGGTGATGGTGGTAGTGGTGGTGGTGGTGATGGTGGTGGTGGTGGTGTGGTGGTGGTGATGGTGGTGATGGTGATGGTGGTGGTGATGGTGGTGGTGATGGTAGCGGTGGTGATGGTAGTGGTGGTGATGGGGGTAGTGGTGGTGATTTGGGGATAGTGGTAGTGGTGGTAGTGGTGGTGATGGTGGATAGTGGTGGTGATGGTAGTGCTGGTGATGGTAGTGATGGTGATGGTGGGTAGTGGTAGTGCTAGTGGTGGTGATGGTGGTAATGGTGATGGGGTAGTGGTAATGGTGGTAGTGGTGATGTGGTAGTAGTGGTGATGGTAGTGGTGGTGATGGTGGTAGTGGTAGTGGTGGTGATGGTGGTAGTGGTGGTGATGGTGGTAGTGGTGGTGATGGTGGTAGTGGTAGTGGTGGTGATGGTGGTAGTGGTAGTGGTGGTGATGGTGGTAGTGGTAGTGGTGGTGATGGTGGTAGTGGTAGTGGTGGTGATGGTGGTAGTGGTAGTGGTGGTGATGGTGGTAGTGGTAGTGGTGTGGTTGATGGTGGTAGTGGTAGTGGTGGTGATATGGTGTAGTGGTAGTGGTGGTGATGGTGGTAGTGGTAGTGGTGGTGATGGTGGTAGTGGTAGTGGTGGTGATGGTGGTAGTGGTAGGTGGATGGTGGGT